TGCTTCTGACATCTGACAATATCCACTTAATTACTTCCAATAAAAAAGAAAAACTCGAAACAACGCTACCTTCCACTGGATAGACCATTATGGACTACATAAGACAATTATGAATGGCTGCTACACCCAGCAGTGCACGTATGGGAGCCAGTGACCCGGCGAGGCTAGTGAAAGAAACAATCTGCTGTATTAAAGCACCTGACAACATCCACGATACTTATTACAGCATTTTCTTTCACCCCCTTCGCTAAAGTTTTACCACAGCGTAGCAGCATCAATGCACCGTGTGCTTTCTGACAACAACGCCGATGCGTGCCTGGAGAAGATTTCATGTTTCAGAATATTTTCCGTTCGACGGTGTGCTTTGTGATGATTCTGTGTTCGGGCAGAGACAGAAAATCATTGAGATTTCAGGAACAGGGATATTGGAAGTGGATTTGAGTGAGTGTTACGGCTACATCTCGGCAGCAGCTCCTAACACATACTAAATTACAGCGCGTCCACGCCCATACTCGATATAAATCCATCAAAGGGAATTGTGGTGGTGGTGTGGCAGTTACATGGTTTCATTCAGCCACTGAGGGCATTTAATGAACAATTTGGGCCGTGTCTCTCCAGTGATTTCACACATGAATCCTTTAGGAAAAGCAGATTTTAAATGGATGTTTACTCAGTAAAAGCGGCGTGTTCTTCACTCCTGTACCGCCGGCTGTCAAATGACAGCACACTGTGCTCTTGAAAAGGGCAGGCGACCCGTGTAGCTCAAAATTTAATGACTTTTAACTCGTCCTGATGGATTGATAGGTACATACAAGTGTTGACATAAGATTTTAAAGAGGAGCTTCACCTATTGAGCAGAGAGTTGCACTCAAGGAGCATACATTCATGCAAATGTCACCTTGTGTGAGTAGTACTTCCCCCACCGACCCCCAACAACAGCTGCATATTCTATTCAAGAGCAGGGCAACGGGGCATCCATATGAGCATAATATCACCGAGCAGGCGATTCCCTGCATGGACCTGTCGAGCATGATGTACGTAGCAGACCGGTATCTTCCCCAGCAGAGCTCAGATTGTTTTGATATTTTTATTAACATGTCCTCAATCATAAATCACTCTGAGGGGAAGTGAGGCCGATCCCTCCTCTCCACGCGGCATCAGATTACAGGTAGAAGACAAAGCTATCGGACAACTCGCCACGTGTCCTGCGTTTAACACTCCTTCCAGCCGCTGAACACTTAAATTCAGTTTACTTTCAAACATTAGGACGCAGCGGAATACAATATACATAATATTATGTAAATCGACTCTCCAATATAGCGGCTGGGACTCAAAAGCAGCGTTCTATCCTTCATCAGTTTTTATCAAAGCTGGAGACAAAACCAGCCGGACGGGCAGTAAGCACTTCTCGCAGTGTCAGGATGTGATGTCATATCGCTTTAAATAACCTCGCAGGACATCATTTTGTGTTACTGTGCGTCTTCTGATGTTATCGTCACAAATAGGGGACAGATTAATGCATTGTTTAAGCACAATACGGTGTCCATTTGCATCACAATAAGATTCCATTTTTTTTTTTTTGACTTCTCAGCGAGCGCTCCGTGCCCCTGACTCAGGCCACGTGGCAGCCGTGCTGTTCTGCAGCCACACACATTTTCATGTCATACTAACTTGCCAGTGTGCGCAAAACTGTCACACTCCCTTAGAGGCTCTGGATGCTATGCGTAATTCCTTTAACACAAGGCCGTGCAGATATCCTTATCATTGTTGTAATGGCGTGCTCATGCCACCCTGCATCCTGCGAACTTGCACGAGGCAGCTGGTAATTCATTTAATTTATTCAAGTCGACCCGCGGTGGATCAGACCGCGCTGGGCTCCTGTTGTGTTGATGGCTGGAGTACACGGACAGACACTCAGCAGCCTTCGTCCTTCAGAGGTGATCTCAGGGCCACAGAAACATCATTCAGGACTTTCTATCTGCAGCCACTTGCTCAAATGTGAAACTCTGGAGGCTCGTGGAAAGGTATAGAAGCAGTGCGTCACAACAACAAATCAAAATGTTCTACTTTAAAATGATGAAAGCACTCTCCTGTCATCATCAGAGCAGAGCCTGCCTTTGTTTGCTTAATATGTAAACACCATCTGTATTTTGTTTAATCCTCCTCAACAGGTAGCCAGCTCTAAAGCGGATCCCCTGTCACTTGCAACCTAGGACATTTGGCGCTCTGACACGCTCATTCGAATCCGTGTGTTGGCGCTTCAAAGCAAATATCTTGTTCACATGTGGTCTGAAGCGCTGCGGGTGTGTTTGACTGGATCTCAGTCAGCGAAGAGCGGGAGCTTTATCTCTCCTGATGGATCTGGCCACTCATAATGAGGTGGACTCTTCTAATGAGCTCTGATTTCACAAAGCCCTGGGCTTGAGTTCAATCTAATGAGTGAGGGGCATTAATAAGTTTGGGTTGAGTTTTGCGAATGTGCTCCGTGGAAAATTTTTATTAGGAGACGGAACGATTCGGGTTCCCCGATACGTGACAATATACACATCTTGGGTATATTATGGTCTAATTAGACATTTGTAGGTAGCGCTTTTTAACTGCAACACATATTGTATCAGTGTCATAAGGTGATTATAGAGGTGATGCACTTGTTAACAAATCAAATGCCAGTATCAAAGGCAAATCCTCCTTATATTAGTACAAATTTATTGGAGTGAAGAGTCTGTCCTTCCCACGCTGTAATTAGATTGCCTACCTATGCACAAAGGAGTCACAAGAAATGAAATGGCAGGTAATCGAGTCACTTTCTTTCCTCGCTACTGCAGTCAGTGAAAATGCAATATATAGAGTATGCAACATATGTCACACAGAGTAACTATAACAATATATTTTAAAAAATGTATCACATGTAAAAAATCATGTAAAAAAACCCCTCCAAAATACTGCAATACAACTTCTGATTAGTCAGTCTAAACCCTGAAGATGTTTGATTTGCAATACTGAAAAGCAGCAACACCAACTGTGCGTAATGTGAAAGACATCCCTTGTAATCATGAACCCACAAATACACTGCACTGCTATTCCTCTCAGTGTTGTGGAGCATTTTAGTGTCATTTGGTTTACAAGCTCAGATAAATCCAATTACACAGCAGCAAATGACACAAAGAAAATAGCAAGTGCACATAGTTGAGCATCCACAAACTAGACCTAGACACATTTTCATCCAATGGTGGAGACCAAAACTGAGCTCAGTGTAAAATGAATATTGGACACATTAGCTCATTAGCACATTAGCATGCTTTACAATATTTGCATTATCCCTTTGCTACTATGGTAATTCAGCAGATTTATGCAATAAATAATGGTTACATTTGTTGACTAAAATTTGGAACTGTGCAATTTACTATATTCCATAAAATCTCTCGCTGTGTGTGTGTGTGTGTGTGTGTGTGTGTGCGCTCTACACAAAATATATTGAGTCATTAACCATTTTAGCCTTTATGCATTGTGTCATGCTTATTTCACCACAATAACTTGTAATAATTTGTATCCACGAAGCTTCAGTTACTCATGATACATTATAACGCCAATTAGGTTGCCTGGCAACCACCTAGCAACAGCATAGAATGACCTATTTTTAAAAGATCGACGTCTACCACCTCATCTTTTTTTAAAACTTTTCTCAGGGTGATTAAGAATATGAACTCACCAACAGCTCAATAACACAATACTGTAGCATGACCACGTACAACTCATTTAATTCGATTTTAATTTTTATTAATCTACCAAATTACTGAGTTGTTATTTCAGCAGTGGATTTTCCTAATGCTACACAGCATATTGCTCACTTGCTGTTATCACATGATTTTACTATTTCCACCACTGATAAATACTGAACAATGTGATAATGTGCTGATGGTGGTGGTATGCTCCTACAGTACTATGGGCAGCTGTAGCTCAGGTGGTAGAGTAGGCAGGCCATTAATCATACGAGTGGCAGTCCATTCCCTCTCTCTTTTTGTCCATATGACAAAGTGTCCTTGAGCAAGACACTTTAACCCAAATTATTCCCACTGTGTGGATGTGGTGAAATATGTTTTGGACAAAAGCGTCAAACAGAAACAAACTAAGAAAAAAAAAAAAATACACACAACCTGAAGTCACCTGGAAGCAGCAGAATGCTGATGACACACAGGAAGTTAAGGACAGAAGAGGACACCGGCCAGGATTCGGAAAGGCATTTGTCTTGCAGGATGGTCTCGTAACCTTTCAGTCTGCCATTTGCGGAGATGTCTTGTCGGTGTGTAAAGATGTAAGAGAGCCCACTGGAGGTGTGCCCTCCCCATGTGCCCACCTGCCTCTCTTACTGCAGTCTGCTGTGCCATGTGGAGCCCCAGATGTAGCCTACAGAATAATCCACACTCGTACACTCATGAAGGTGTCCATCTGGTCCCACGCGCTCAAATTAAGTCCCAGAACCCGTACAGGCATGGGGACACTGTTGTTGTGGCATTTAACAGATTCGAGAGCCTGAGATACTGCTGTACTTCTTCTATTCTGTCTGTAGGAAGGCCCGAGCTGAGGCGCTGCACAGCTGAGAGTCACTTGGCTGTGACTGGGAGGTGAAACGGAAAGGGACTGAGCAGGATAAGCCTGCAGAGCTCACTGCTAGCAGAGCAGAGCGAGGAGGATCTTTTTACATTAGCTGAGCCTCAGGCACATGCAGATAACAGCAAAGCTCCTGCCTGGCAGGAGAGGCACCAACACTGCAGCCCTGCATCACAGCTGGCAATGTTTATCCAATCAAAATAAAAGAGCGCTTTTTATACTTCAAGGTTTTGTCTTCACATCTGAATAATATCTCACGTGTTTGCTTTTGACTAAATATAGACTGACCTGAAAACAACTGAATACAAACATCAGATAGAGGCCCGCCTCAGTTTATAATAACTCTCATTTACTTTATAACCCCCCCACAGTGATTTAACAAAGGACAACACTCAGTTATTTTACTGTTTAATATACAAGACAGTTTCCTATGAAACACATTTATACAGGAACACCAATTTACAGCACATTTGAGCGAATACTGAAGGAGAACTCCACTCAAAACCTGGATGATGTCATCAACGTGTCATCACTCAGGTGACAGCTTGGAGGTTAAGAGTCCTTCTGAGTGCAGGTCTAATACCCTCCTTGGAGCTTCAGTTTCTCCCCCCGTTAAAAACATGTAAATGAATCCCGGACAATCTCCCAAAATTGCACTATATTTACTTCCAGGAATAACCTTTATATAACCTTTAATTAACCCCCCCCCCGCTCCCCAAAACAAAATAGTTTCCTATTGCAGGAACTTGCCATAACACTGATGTTAATATTTTTTGTTATCAGTATGCTGATTATAAGTTATTTGATGCTATAATAAGATTATTTGTCCTCATTACAGATCGCTGTGACTGACAGCTGCTTTGAATAAAGAAGAAGCACCTGCTGATGTCTGAGTGGGTTGTTCTGATGTAAACTATTCAAAGTGAACTATTCAAAGGTTTTGTGGGAAGCTGCTATGGGAAACTTTATTTGAAAGTAATGCAAACTTACACCAAGCAAGGTAATTGTGCAATCAACATGTTAGGTCTCTCCTCCAGAAAAGCAGTTTATTCACCAGGACCCGCTGGCTGCAACCGTGGCAGATGGGAATCGGTACTATTTAATATTTTACATGATTCATCTAGCAGTTGCAAAGCTGATTGGTGACAGTCATCAGGAACAGCAGGCTAAAAAGATGCACTTGATAGATTAATGTCTGTCTTACACCATTTTCAACTGCCCACAACGTCAGTTTTGGAAGAGACCAAAGACACAACATATCGGGGGTCGGGGGTGAGCTTCAGAGCTCACCTGGTATGCAGATTTCATCAAAGCCAGGCTCTATGTTCCCAGACTTTGTGCTAAGCTAACCTAACCAGCAATAATTTTATATTTAATAAACAGATGTGTGTTTGATTATCATTCCTCTCATCCATCTCTTTTGCTGCAAATGGCCCAAAATGTTAATTCCAAGCAGTTATAGGTGAAAATAATGTGCAGACAGTGTGATGGTAATATAACATGAGAGCGACTTGTTAGCACGTTTTCTGTCTGTATAATAATGGTTTATGTTTTAAGAACTAGTGTCTCTCTGGGAAGCTTTAGTCTCATTTCTGAAGCAGCAGCGGGACAGACGTTGCTCTCGCCCCCGTCCTCGTCACCACTTCACAGGCTATTCAATTAGCAGAAGAAGCATGGGAGATGGAGCCATAATGGAGCTGATGAGATGCACAAGGACAGGTGACACTAATCAGAGCGGCGCCCCATTGTCTCTGTGTGGGCATCATTAAGGAAAGGGAGTAATTTCAGGCTTTTTTTCCCCTCTCTAAGCCTGAATACACTCATGCTGCCTGCGTGCATTCTCTTCCTTGTTATCAATTTGCAACATGTGTGAATATATCCACTGAAACGAGTGAGAGTGTAAGGAAAACAAGAATATTTGACACCTCAAAAATAGGTTTTCAAGTGTAACTTCTTATAAATGCCACACTGATATACTGATGCGATAGCTTCAATGGCTCTCAGACACATCTAATTCCCCAAGGATTTACTCTCACCCTGTAATCTGTAAACTCCTTCTGTTGTTGGTTCAGAAAAGGCTGAGGCATCCACTCTTCAACACATCCACTTTCCTCTCCTCCATGTGAGTGGGTGAGGCTGCTGATGAAGCGCGACCTGCCGAGGCGGCCTCAGGCCGATCCCAGAGGCCGGGGTTGCTTCTGTCTTCCGTCGAGCCTCTGGGCTGGACTACGAAGGAGTTCTGCGCCGCCTGCCGGTACCGAGAGCTGAAGTAACTCCACAGACACCTGAGAAAATCCAGCCAAAGCACAAAGATTAGTAAAAAAAAGACTCAAGGTTTGACTGCTTCATCCCACATAATTTTGCCGAAAAAGTCCAATTAGCTACATTCGCACTTTGGCAAATCCCAAATAACTTTGTTAGTGTAATAACATAATCCTAATCTCATTACTAAGTCCCTCTCCTCCCATTAACTTAGTCGTTAGAGAGCGTGGAAGCCTGCAGCTGAATTCAGAGGGCCTCCCATACAGCCCAGTCTTAAAATATTCACGAGCTTCACCGTCTCATGCTGACATTAAAATTCTTTTGATGCATCTGTAAACACCGATGAGCCAAACTTTTACGACCACTAACCCAAATATGCTGTGGTCCTCTGCTTGCCGCTAAGCATCTGAAACCAAGCTGAGGCACGATCCCTACACGACTCATCGTTAGCAGCAGATTCCTTAAGAGCTTGAGGGGCCGCAGATCATACTTTTTTCATTATATTTCTCAACAGCTTGTGGCTGTTTGTCCCTCCTCACCCTGCGGTTGACCCACAAATTGTCCCACTTTAGAAACAATCAATCTTAGTCATCAGTCGTTATGTCTGGATTACAGGAATTAACACCTGGTTGTGTCTCCCAAATCCAACATACTGATTACACAAACCAACTGTTCACGTACCCTTTGAACATGCCATGAGCCAATCATCATTACTCACTTCCTCTGCGAGTTCTTGTAATCATTTGGCTAATTTGTGTAAATCAGAACCTGCTACACTGGAGTGAAATTACACATTTTTCTATCCAGCACCATCTCCTGCAAAAACATCTATACAAGACGTCTTTGCTTGGTCAAAAACATGTTGGAAGAAACTGCTCGGATCGTCTAAGCCAGGATGTTTAATACTCCTGCACTGCAGAGAAAAGGTATGAAAGAGGTCAGTGTGGGCAGTTAAGATTCCAAAGAACAGGACTCCACAGAGAGGTCAACAAAGCTGCAAGAGTGTAAACGATTAAATACGGTTTCTGTGAAAGTCCACAAGGAGTGTCCGGATGCTGCTCAATATTTACTGTTGTGAACGTCTTGTAAACAGGCACATGAAGATGGAAATAAGTATTAACAGAACCAAGTCTGTGTGTTTTAGAGTACATCAGGGCCATTAACTCCTTAACATTCACCCTCTTTATTAAACAGGGATAAAAACTTGGAAGCACTTTGTTTGTTGGACTCTTGCATGCAAACAGCACATGTCACCTAATATACAGCCAAAACCTTTTTGCCCTTATATTACAAAAAACTGTTGCTGCTGAACTGAGACCAACTGAACTGTGAGGATGTTTTAAAAAAAACAAAACAAACTATGTTCTTCTTTGTGCACAGTAGCTCAAAATGTATCTGAAAAGATCTCACCAACCAATGCGCTCACCTCTTAGTTGCTATGCACAAACAATTGTTACGAGAGCATTGTTGTATTGTTGTGCGAGCATCTGGTGCCTGTGTTGTCCTGCGGGCGGATTTTGCTTACATGGTTTGAGTTCGCTTATGAACAAAATGAGACACAAGTTGAATTTTGTTAAAATAAAGGTCAGCACAATAAATACTACTCTCTTTCCTGAAGGGAGAGATCGCTTCCAGGTTGACGATCCCCTCCGCCCACAGCACAAAACTAGGATATAAAAGATGGACAGAGCTTGCGGGTCTTAAAGGTGAATCCGGTGAGGAAGTGCTTAAACTTTCATTCTTTTTAATGACCAGTGGGGACCGGGTCCTTCGCTAAAAAAGACTTCCGGTTGCATAAAAGTCTCTGGGATTTCAGCCCTCGGCGCCCCCGTTCTCTGACTTCAGTAAATATAAATTATCCTCATTATTAAAGCTAAAAAGGAGGCATGCTAACTAAGTAATAACTCAATGGCAACTATTTAGTCAATACTCCTGCACTGCAGATTTTTGAAGAATTCCTTTGAACAACAATTAAATCCAACCCACCAAGATACTAATGAAAAATACACTCATAAGAGGTCTTCACTAATATCTCAGTGGCTATGTTCATCTTCTATAATGTCTGTGGACACAATGGGTCACCGAGTGGCTTGATGAGTATAAAAAAATGATAAAGCTTTTAGATTAACCCACTCTCAACCCAGAGATAACAGGCCAGTGCACTGGACCGTGTTCACCATCAAAACACCAAATTAAGAAATATGCTTTGGTAGAGTGGCATTTATAACTCGAATTGAATTCCAGAAACTCAACGGAGAATCAATGCCAAAGAAGCCATCAGTGGTCTTTTCTTTAATTTTTAATTAATCTAAATATAAAATGTTAATGGGTAAACCTTTGAGGAGTTGGTGATGGGAGCCAGACTAGCTCTTTCCACCTTACCTCCCACCTACACATTAAGCATACAAAGCATCAGCGACTCAGAGAATGTTTGACAAGTGAAAAACAGAGTGTCCCATGTCTGTCTTGGAGTGGATGTGGCAGGACAACAAATACATACATACATTCATACATACAACAACAGAAAGAAAGAAAGAGAAAAAATGCTGAAAATGTAAAATTCTACTGTGACACTGGAAAAAAGCAAGTTTCAGTCTTGGGAGACCTTCCATGAGTGTGTTCTTGTAGACACAGTGCATACCAACTATCTCAGTAATCAGTTACTGATCATTGGGTTCATGTGACTGATGTAGAAGCTAATCATGATAGCTTGACTCTGACGTGGCCAGGCAGCAACACACTGTATCATTTCCTACAATCAGCAGCCACTTAATATGAAGACATTCACCTTTCAGCGCTGCCTTCAACCTGATCGAAAACCACGCGAAGACTGCTTATTTCCACCTGGATTTTTTCACCATTAAAAAAAAAAACAGTTTTAATTTAGCATTTTACAAAATAATAATAGGTGGACAAAAAAATCCTTTTCCCAGTACACTGAATGCATAACCTCGGTCCACCACAGTAATTGGCTGCTGAGGCAAATCAATGCCTCAGATCAGAATTGAAGCCTTCGGCTTGTTTACAACATCTATCATTTGTTCTTATCAAGAGTGATCAGAGCAATTTTCCCTCCCTTAATATAGGTTTGATGGGACAAAGAAAAGCTCAATTCTCAGAGAATTGGAAAACACATTTCTTGTGCTTTGTGGTAACTAAACTGTCAACAGATAAGAGAGTCCATGGTATCAACTCGTGGGTAATTCATCTTACAATTGTGCTGTTGTGTTTTCCTTTGGAACGGCTTGCAAATTTGGTTTGAGGCCTTTTGCTCAAATGTCAGCGCGAATGCTTTGTCCAAACGTTCGCAAAAAAACGAGAATGTAAAGCAGAATGTACGCTCAGAGCACTCGTCTCCAAATCTGCTCAACTTACGTGCAGTGGCCACTTAAAAGCAGCACATTTGTAGCCTTGTGTGCACTTCTAAATCTGTAAAAGGGCGATGAGCTATTCGTCCTCAAGCAGCTCTGCAAACTGCTGTAGACAGTAGCGTGAGGTGAGAGAGCAGTGTAGGCCACTTTGTATCATGTCAGTGCTAGCGGTTAGACGCCATCTCCACAGTGTCCCTTGTCACCAATCACATCCTTTTAAACCACCCAGGGAGCTCGACACCCCCCCTCACACACACACATACACACTCCCTTATCTGTCAATGCTGCTTAAATAATGTAATTAATGACTTAATTAACATTTCCATAATCTATTTTAATAAATCTAACACGGCATAATGAGAGTTTCTAACCTCCAGGCAATGGCATATAAAAATTCACAGCGCAGAGCTGCATGGTCAGGGCACTGTCGCAGCGCCGCAAACTCTCACCATGACAGTAAAGGAAGGAGAGAGCGCATACTGTGTGACAGCCTTCTGAAAGGCAGTTCAAGTCTGACAAATATCATGTGACTTCGTGAATGTGTCCAATAACAGACCTGCAGCACGAGGAGGAGGCAAGAAGATTATTTTGGAGGGTCAAAACGCCGGAAGAAGGCCAGAGCATCGCTAAAAGAAGGATTGTTCGAGTTTTTATGAGATGAACAAAAATGCGTTCTTGAACTCAACTGTGAAATAAAAATTATTATTGTCAAGTTGAGCTTACATGTGGAGCTGGACCTGCTGCGTGGTTTCGTCTAAATAAATCTTACATAACAAAAGATGCTGTAGCTGACACACAACAACGACACAGATCTGGGTGATTAATCAGATTTTAATCTCAGTTCCATTTTGCTTCCCAGTGATTATCCTGTTTTCCTTCTCTCACCCCAACCGGTCGCAGCAGATGGCCCCGCCCCTCCCTGAGCCTGGTTCTGCCGGAGGTTTCTTCCTGCTAAAAGGAAGTTTTTCCTTCCCACTGTCGCCAAAGTGCTTGCTGATAGGGGGTCATATGATTGTTGGGTTTTTCTCTGTATCTATTATTGTGCGATCTACTCTACAATATAAAGCGCCTTGAGGCAACTTTTGTTGTGATTTGGTGCTATATAAATACAATTGAATTGAATTGATTCTAAAAACTAAATAACTGGGATAAAAAGATTATTCTTTGGAATTAAGTTTTGTTATGTTATACATGAAGCGTGCCTCTTGTTCACTGTTGCTCACAGAGTCTTCGGACAGTAAATCCATTCTATGGGCAGTAAAACTTTTTGTCGATCAACATCTGGCGAGTCCGTCCGCAGCTGCCTTTGTCTCTGGATCGCCCGGGGTCTGTCACTTTTGGTAGCAGGCAACAAATGGCTTCTGCCTTTTGTTGTTCACCCTGTAGCTACTGAGTAGGACCCTCAAGATGTGCAAGTCCACTGTCCCTTGAGTCTCTCATTGGTGTCAAAATCTACCAGGGACTGACTGGTGGATTTTCTTGCAAGACGAGGTTTTATGGTCAAATACACCCCCTAATTAGCACGTAACTCCATAGAAGATGAACCTGTGTCCTGCACTTATTTTCCCCCATTAGTTTTTTGTTTAAATTAAGCAAATGAGTTCACAACAAGGATCCAACATGATGCAGACAATAAAAGGTCATTCTGAGCTGTTTGCTTGTTTATCTTCATCTTATCCCTGTCTGTCAGACTAACGGGCAGAGTCGTGGGTGGGGGTGAGTTGGGGTCGTTCCTTACTAGAGCTCCCACCCTTGGGGCTGAAGTGTGACTGAGATGCACACTGACAAGGGGCAGCAGGACACTGGCACATCCCAGGCAGCACAAGCACAATGAGACACAAGGTCTGTGTAGACCACCAATCCTAATGAGGGCTCCCATTAACCTTCTTACTGTACCAGTAATAATGTACAGTTAGGTCATTAACTATTTAGACAATAACAACTTTTGCAGTTTTACCTCTGTACACCACCACGGTGGATTTTAACTTTCACTTTTAATTCATTCAAAGGGTTTTTAAAAAGTATTTTATTAGCTTTCTTTTTTATACACAGTGCCCCATTTTCAGAGGCTCAACTGAAAACTCGATAACTGAAAAGTTGATCCATTGGGTTGAGATCCTATGACTGACTTGTCCATTGAAGAATTTTTAAATTCTTTGCTTTGAGAAGCTCTTGGGTTGTTTTTGAGGTTTGCTTTGGATTATTATCTATTTGCACTATGAGTGCCGTCCCACCAGTTTTACAGCACTGGGGTGAACGTGAGCAGAGTGCTGCCCTGTACCCCTCACAATTCATCCTGCTCCTTTTATTAGCAGTGACATCATCAATAAAAACATTACTGACCCAGTTCCACTTAGAGCCATACATGCCCATGCCATTAAATTACACCATGTTTTACAGATGATGTAGTATGCTTCAGGTCCAAAACTTTTCCCTTTCTTCTCCATGTTTTTCTCTTCCCATCATTCTGGTATATCTTTCAGTGCCAGTTTCATCTTGGCTTCTGTCCAAAGGCTGTTTTCCAGAACTGTGCAGGCACTTTTAGAAGTTTTTTGTCTAATCTGACATTCTTTTTCCTGGGTGTAACAAGTTGTTTGCACATTCTTGGTTGAAGGCTTTCAATCAAAGCAGAAAAATATAACTAGTAGTTCAACTTTAATCGAACTGAGTTTTTTCACACCTGTTGGTGTTACTGAGCCGGTCAGCACAGTCCTCTTTTTAAGAAGGAACCAGATTGTCGATTTGGACACTCATGACGTTTTTACTAAATCTATGATAGTTCAAATGCCTTCCTCACTAGCACTGATATTTCTTTAGGCCTCAATTTCAACACTTAAAATCAAATACAGATTGTTTATCTGCATACTTTGTCATGAAAATACAAGGCAAGCAGACTCACTTGGATATCAAACTGCTTGTCCATCAACAGTTTAATTTGTTTTAAACCTTGGAAAATGGTTTGGCTGTGTGTAAAAATGACTATGATTGTTAAACCACTTGAGTTAAAGTTGAAAGTCTGAACTTCAGTCTTATTTTTGATTGATTTTTAATTTAACATCCACTGTAGTAGGGCTGGGCGATATGGCCTGAAATCCATATCGTGATATAATTTGAAGCATGTGCGGTAACGATATATATCGCAATATATTCTTTTCTTCTGTATAACGATTTTCCACACTATAAGGCACACTTAAAATCCTTTAATTTTCTCAAAAATCGAGAGTGTGCCTTATGTATGAATTCTGGTTGTGCTTACTGACCTCGAAC